ACATTTCAAATTCATTAACATCTTATTGCATCTCTTTCCAGCCTCCCTCCCCTAATGATATCAAGCTTTGAAAAAAAAAAAAAAAATTTCACAAATTTTGAAACTTTATTTTTTGTTTTTATTTTTTCATATTCATTTTTTGGGACCTATTATGCACCACCTGACCAAGTTTCATGATTTCAAGTCTGTGTTTTGGAGCTCTGGAATCCAAAATAAGCAGCCACTTTTCACTGTCTACCCACTGTACCCACAAAACCATCCTTGAATTCTGGATTTTTGGTGCAAACTAAAAGTTTGTCAAAAGACCAAAATTCAAAATTGCAATTGAAAATTTCTCTGGTTGCTATGGCCAGGCCGTAATTAGGTTGTGGTTTGTTTTAATTCACCTGTGACTATTAGGCACACAGTTTCAGAGTCTCAATGTTATTTCGTCTTGCTTGTATTTTTATTCATGTAATGATCTTTGTACAGAGTCTTGTTACTCATATCATTGTCATTGGCTGGTCATCAATCTTGGAAATCTATTCATTCTATCCTATACGTCTTGTTAGGTAAAGGCTTCTTTTTTCTTTACTGTTCTGGTTCTTTGGGAGAGACAGGAGCGCATAGCGGATGTGTCTGAAGTCCAAGACCCCGAACGCTTGGAGCCTTGCCCCGAGCTGAGAGGTCAGGACTGGCCTGGCAAAGCACGGCCCCCTCGCAAAGGAGAGAGGTTATAACCTCACCCTTCTGATCCTCTCAGCCCGCATCGCCAGGCGCTCCTCTCCCCATCTCACTCCTACTACCCCGTCTCTACGCGCAGTGTTTTTTAGTGTTTTTTTGTCCTATTTAAACCATCCATGGCCGAAGACATCGTAACACGAGCGACACGAAAGATGAAAGGTTTAACCAGACCCGGGGTAAAAGAACCGGACACCCAACCACAGACTCAAACGGCAACAGCGCAATCAATGTCACCTCAAGGACCGACGCAGACAACCGCAGGAGAGAACACGACAAACGAGTCATCGGAGCACTTAAGTAGTTAGTCTCTCTCGATTTCGGAAATTTTCTGCTATAGTAACCAAGTCGCGGTCAACTTACACCACCTTTTCATTCTGATGCTCGTCACAGAACGCTCCAACGAAGTCATAGACCTCTCCCAAGTGGGCGTTGATAAACGCACGCCTCCCCCTTCCCCCCACGCCCACGCCCCCGCCCCTCCAAAAGGGGCGTGCAATTGAACCCGCCCCTCAGGGAGGGGGCGGTTTTGAATGGCCCGCCTCTTTGGAGGCGGGTGTCCGGGGCAAAACCGGGGTGGGGAGGGGGGTTTAATAAACCCCCCCCCCTCCTTGGGAAAGAAAGAGGCCCCAGATATCTCTGGGAATTTTGGGGACCAAGAGGGGCAAGGACACCTCCAAAGAGAAACCACCCGGAGAGAGGGAGGGGGTTTTAAGGGGGGGTTTCCCAGGGGGGGGAAAAAAACAGGAGATACTCTGTTGTGTGGGCGCGCACGAAAACACCTAGTTATGTGTGTGGATGGGGGCCCCACCATCATGCATATCTTTGCGTCCCTCGCTGATATTGGGCCTCCTTGGTTGTGGGGTTAACAAAAAAATAAAAAACACACCAAACAAAGGGGGGGCGCACGCCC